AAAGAGGTCCACAAAGAAAAATATGCTTTGCTCTCAGGAAGCTTCACAGCACTGGTGACAAAGGGAACACAGAGGCAGCTTTCGCCTGGGCACTCTGGCACGGCCAGAAGGGTTACGTGTGTGTTTGTCATGCACAACTCGCATTAGCAGCTCTCTGGGGTGGGCAGCAGGACCAGATTTGCACAGATATTCAGGGGCCAAAGAAGAGCAGCAGCATCCTCAAAAACCCAAGGTCCACTGGGGTTAGGTACAAAATTCCCTCTAAGCCTTTTCTTAGGCACAAAACTACCCTTGAAATTAGAACCTGGTGCCTTCCCACGGCTTTATGCAGCACCTGGAACAGTCAAAACTTGGTTGGAGCCATTGCATGATACATATATCACGATTTTTTGCCTCCATTAAGAAGTAGTTTTGTTTCATAGTTGTCCTTACAGTGGGTAGTGTGCCTCCAAGTCAGTTGGCTGGTGTGGACCAGCTGCAGATGTATATTACCAGTAGACTTCACTCCACGCAACAGGGACAACTGCCTCACTTCCCCAAAAAGGCAGTTAGTACTGCTCCATGTCTGAGCTTTTCTACTCACCAAAATGCATATATTAACAGCAAAGAATTTATGTTTTCCATATGCTAACCTAGTGTTGGACAACTTGCTGGAGGACCATTGTTTAGAAGGGAATGCTGCAGGCCCAGGCACCGACAGATTACTTCTAAGTTTATCCATAGGAGGCATTGGCAATGTTTATTTCTTGTCACTTTGTTTCTGGATTCTCTTTCAAGGAATCCGCAAGATTTATTCATTAATAGCAGAGTTTCATCTAAATACAGTGGCTCTCTGTAGAAAGAAAGGGGCTTAATGGAAGGAATCCTACACGGGCATTTCTTTGCCACTGTGCAGATTTCATAAAGCAATGTTGGTGTAAGAGAACAGGGTGACAAACTTTCTGTTCCAACTTACTTTGTTAGCAGTCAGTTTTATTGATTTAAACGTTGAGCTCATACTTTTCGTGTTCAGATAGCACCAAAACCCAATGCAGCTGCAGTGACAGGGAGAACATTCATTAAACCACACACCTTGCAACCTAGAAGGCCAATTTTGAACTCATTGCTTCATCTTTTGGGGCAGATGCTGTAGTTACACTGGAAGAAACATTGGCTGTACCTTTGCCAAAATAATCAGAATCATTGTAAGCATTCAGCTTACAATTAAGCATCTATACTCACACAGATAAAGGACTCCAATCCAGCTGCCTTTGAAGGCAATGACCCAGCACCTGCAGACTTTAAAGGTCATGGACTGAGGCTATACCTTCTCCTGTTAGAGTTTTCAATATGGAAATATATATTTTGATACGGAACTTCAATAAGGAAATAGAGGTTTTTTTTTCAATAGAGAAAAAATGAACTATATTTCAGGGAAAATATTCCACATTTTCAACACACTCTAGTGGTTATTATTTTCAGATAAATAATCTCCTAATGTTACAAACAGCCAACCAGCAAAAAAAAAAACCCAAGAAGCCCACCCTCAAATCTCATCTGCATTTCATATATCTCATAGACAGACTATATGGACATAGATAATCATAGATAATCAATAGGGTTGCTGGTGCTTTCTTCTCAGTCGTAGAGAACTCCTGTCTGCCCAGGGCAGAGCGCAGCAGGGCCGAGGGCACTAACGACCACCCTTACCACTGCCACTCATCTGCAAAGAGCATAGCCCACGCTAAACTCTCCCCCTCGACGTTTAGCAAGGAATATGGATTTTAGCAAGAAATACGCTCTTTGCTAAAACTCAGCTGGAGCAGTTAGCAAGTGAAGGCCCTTATTCCACCAGCTTTTTAAACGCGCACATCCCCTGGCCTGCCTGGGTTCCCCTGTTGCCTTTGGCCGAGGTATGCAAGGAAGGTGTCAGAGCAGTCGGAAGTGAGCCTCAAGTGCAAGGAAAAGGAGATGCTTTCTTCTTACCTGTAATGAAGCCCACGCAGATGTAGAGTTGCAGGACGCTGGTGCAGAAGGCAGCCGAGACCATCCCTATGCCACAGAGCAGGCCTCCGAACATAACCACGGGTCGGCTGCCATAGCGATTTACTAAAATACTGCTTATAGGACCTGGGGAAAAAGTGCAAAAAACCCAAAATGATCTTTCAGGCAGGTATCCTCTGACAGAAGGGCATGTTTGATACAAGGCAAGCAATATCAGTGCCCTTCAGCTGCTGCTGATGGCTTCTACAATGACTTCAGAAACAAAATGGAAAAAGAGACCTGTACCACAGGTGCTCTGCTGAGATGGCAGCGATGTCTCATGTCACATGGTGGTTATGTGCAGTTGGTGATGGTCCCTGCCCCATGGACTTTAAGGTGTCCAGAGAGAAGGAAAACAGCAATACCAAATCAGGTGAACACACGATTCAAACAGAGGAATTTCTTGATTTATTAGGATGCTAAACCATGCACATGAAACACTGGTTTGTATTACGAGGCTGATATCATGAATACTGTTCCATTTGTAATGCCTCTATTTAATGCAGTTCAGTACTGCTGACCAGGACTGATACTCCAACAGAAGAGTTGTTAATTAAATCTTAATAGCGGCCAACGTAGATGGAAACAGTTTGGTATGATGAATTAGCTGGAGCTCAAAAAAAACCAATTTGGTCGTACGTTACTGTAAAGAGGTAGTCCAGGAAAGTACAAAATTGTGAAAAAGGGAAATGGCAGAACAAGGAACGTAGACACTGAAAGGAAACATCAAAATCTGAGGAAGTGAAACACGCAGGCAGCTTCAGGCAGAAGAGGAAAGAAGGGAGTTCTTTCGTATAGTAGCCTCAAATAGCTGGAGGACCAGTAAAAATCAGAATCATTGAATAATTTATGTGAGAGAGACCTTTGGAGGTGTCTGGTCCAATCCCTGCTCAAAGCACAGCGACCCTTTAAGTTACATCAGATTGAGAAATTAGAAATAGAGAAAGCAAACTGAGCAGGAAAGGGTATTTGGTTCAGAAGACAAGCTACAAGAGGTAGGAAAAAGATTCTGTATCAGTCCAAAAACCTTGAAACAAAATGCTGCAAAAATGGTATGGGAAATGAGGCAGGGGTATACAAGCAGCATTTACTATCTTTTCATATGCCTAGTATTTATGGTGCTTCTCAGTACCCAGCAATCGTGTTTCTGAACCTAGTGTACCTGTTTGCTTTCACTCCTGCAGTTATCAGTAGCTCATGGTGTCCACATACAGCACACTGGGGATGGGTATTTTAAGCTTACGGGCATCTCTGAAGAGTTTGACTATGGGACCTACCTCACCATAAAGCAATTAGGCTGGATATTTTTCTTTGATTAAAAAAACTCAGCTAGAAATAGAGCCAGAACTCCTTCCCGACCCTGGATACTCCAATGCACACAGGACCTGAAAACGCCAGTATGCACTCAGTGTGCCAGACTGCATCCAAACAAGGTCTTAGCTGTCACGAAGTGCAAGAATAAAACATGGTAGGCATGACTGGTTTAATCTAGGGAATGACGCCTATCAGTACATCTGTAACATGTAAAATACTTTCAACTAGACTCGTGTACGTTCAAACACTAATAAATGAAATACTTGCAAGCAGAGTCCTAGCAACACTCCAGTAACTGCGTGATGTGTGAGTCAGTCCCACAGTACACAATATTCAATTAAAGCATGTGTGAGGATATAATTATGCAGCTGGTTTTGTCTCCTAGCCCTGTAACTGGATTCATATGTATGCATTTCTTCTGTGCACAGCACTACAGAATTCAATGAGAAGTACTGGGGAAAGAGATATAGAAGATACATAAAATATATAAGATCAGCACAGAGGGAAACAGGCCTCTTTCTCACTGAGCTTCCCCTGGACAGGATCTGGACTTGCATGACGCTTGAGTTTGTCTCAGAGTGTGCTGTATTTCAATAGACTGAGCCAATGTTCCTCAGTAAAGGCACCAACCCATTCATCTGCAGCCTGAGGGGACATGAGTTTTCCATTTTTCAATTTTCCACATGTCCGCGTTGCTCCAGAATCAATCTAATAACCCAAATAACAAAGTGTGCTTTCAATTCCCTTCTCCTGCTAGAAGGATTCTTTCACATTAGGCTTAAAACTATGGGACATCATAGTTCGGAGCAGAGCACGCAAAGCCTGTAAGGTTCCTGCTAAGGCCCCTCTCCTACTCTCACTTGGGGGCAGTCCCTGGGAAGAGAAGTCCCCGCTCTAAGATGTGAAACAAAATGCTCACATACACTCCACTCCTGCAGTATCCACCATGGGAGAAGGGACCATGTTCCTCTCATTCCAGCGCATAAACCATCATGCTTGTTTCACCCATCAATACGCATGCGTTTGTGCCCTGACGGTGGATGGTGAACCGGAATTGACTGCAGGAGGGACACACGCTGCTCTGCCTTCCCCGCTATGGGGACAACCCAGCATAGAGACTGCAGAAGATATAACAGCGGTGGAGAGAGAAGTCAAAAGCTCATATTCCAGTGGGGGGCTCAGCAGACGAGAGCATCCTTCCTTTATGATTGGGACAGCCTTGATGAAGGCACCGTGTCCTTAACCCACAACCAGTAACTTGTTAGGCTGTGAGACTGTAATTGCTCCCACGAGGGTGGCCCTTTTCCTGTCTCTGTAGGCCAGGTGTGACACTCAGTCTGATCTCTCAGCAGCAGCTTTATAGCAGGTCTGCAAGATCTTCAGCAAACAGACTTCATCTTTTATAATCAGAGCTATCAGCTTTAAATGAGGATAACCAGACCCATTTGTTTGCCTGGCCTGATGCGAGAGCTGTGGTCCCAAAGGCATTACCTGCTTGGCTGTGCCATGTTCGGCAGGGAGTTGTGACACACTTAGGAAGCAACATAAGCCTTTTTCCCTCATACTCTGAAACCTCAGCTTGAAGTGCAGACCTTTCAGCCTGCTTTTCTAAAGAAGCACGGCTTATGGGATCACCGCACGCATGTGCAAGTGACTGTGTTTGAACTCACTGGCCAGTTTCAACCATCTATGACTGAGGGTTGGAGACCTCTAAGATACTAAACTCAGCCAGTTAGAGGAGAAAGATGGAAGCAGAGCACCTGGACTAAACCTTTCCAGGCACTGCACACCGCAGGCTCCACAGAGAAGGCCATTACGAGTCCTCTACCTGCAGGAAAAGCAGCAGCTCGACCTCAACTAGATACCAGAGAACCCAGCCCAGCCCTCAAACACCTGGGAAGCCAAACTTCCCTGAGCTGCTGCTCCTAGGACCAAGGTTTTGTAATAGTCCTAAGCAGACCTTTCAAATGCACTGAAGCAACACAAAATCACATCCCCAAAATTACTTCCACTTAAGTCATTTGGCGCTACAGAAATTTACAGGCAATCGTCCATAGACTTTAATGGAGCAGGCTTTCAAAAGCTGTCCCATCTCTGCAGAAACTGGAACACACAATATGTCACATTGCTGTGCACACTTCAGTACGCACGACCAGCCAGTTTGGGCAGACATGCAAAGCACAGGCACGCACACCTGCACCTGGCCCAAATGTCTGAAGTGATCTGTGTTACACCAAACAGGTCCAGATGCACCTCTCCTGCCATCTAGCCACATGCAACCTGGGGGACATTTATATGACAGCTAGCCATCAAACATTAGGTAACTTTAACAGCACTGTTCTGGGCAGTTTCAGAAAACATTGAATAGCTCAAGTCAGGGCAGAGGAATTAAGAAGAGTGAACAACAAAGCCAGGACCGCAGTTGGGGGAAATAGGAAACACTATTATTGCTTGGCTTGGAGCTATTGCAAAAATTAAAAGTGTGACAGCCTCTGGAAACACAGTGGAATTGAAAAGTGGGACCTGTCATCTACCAGTTATTCAGCACGCATGAAAAGAATAAAGATGCTGTATATTACCGCACAGAAACCAATTAAGGTAACAGTGTATGCAACTCGGATCCCAAGGCACCTTTTCTTGCTAACACTCGCTTAGTCAAATGTGCAGGAACCACAGGCTTCCTGTCCTGGAAGCCAAACTAAAACATCCTTACTTCCTAGAAGTTGAAGGCATGTGAAGCTAAAAGGAGTCAGGGTGATTTTTGTCTCTTAATTAACAGTCAGGTGAGGACTGGCCAGATAAACAGCTGGCCAAGCTCTCAGAAAGCCACCATTTACTTGGCATGACCTTGCAGGATCAGCAACGCAAGTGCTGACCAATTCCCTGAAAAGTCATGGTGAGGAGCAAAGCCAGGCTCCGCTGCTGAGCATGTTGCCGGTGCAGCGCTCCCTGCTCCAGCGCCCAGACGCCCAGGGCTAGCAGCACTCGGCCCGTGCCAGTCAGGATGCCTGGCAAGTGCTAGTGAGGAAACTAGCACTAGTGCCAAGATGCCTGGCAAGTGCTAGTGAGGAAACTGGAAGGAAAACTGAATCATTGCCTTGCACCCCAATACATTACAAGGACGAGACTGCTGACATAGGGATGATAGCAGCAGGTGTTTTGCGGAGGGAGGGACAGCATTTCCAGGAAACGACACAGCCCATCGCACGACCCAGGAAGCTGCCTCCTCCTCATGAGCTAGGAGGCAGCTCAAGCTTTCAGTCTTGGTGACGGTTAATCACCCACCACAAGGCAACAGATGTGAGACAGCAGAGTGCACACGGAGCTGCTGAGCCTCAGTCTGCTACCGACGTGCCAAGTCGGCACAGCACCACTGCTGCCAGCACTGGGGTTTATGATACAAATTGGAGGACAGGCCAGAGATACCTGTGGAGGTATCACCCAGAGCAGCACAGCACTCAGCATGGGGTACATGCCAGCTAACTCAGCCTGATGTCTCCCAAGAAGCATCGCACTGCCATACCTGGAGCACTGCCGGGTCCCGAGCCAGCACAGATAGGCTGGCACAATCCAGTGGGAATGCTCAGAAATGCCTTGTTTTACACCCAGAGTCCTGGCGGAGCAGGGTGCACATGGAGTAGGTGCTCTGCTTGCAATAAAACACCGCAGACTAGGGAACAACACTTCATGCCAAACATCCCCTAAAGATGCTGCTGGGATTGTAGCATCCCCAGAAGACTGATGTGGTGTAAAGCACTATCCTCAGCCCATAT